CAGAGTTCTGCCTCACTTGCCTTTGTTGGAGCAATTTTGTAGCCCACATCAGATCTGGAGTCAGGAAAACTCCTTTGTATTCTCTGTCTCTGTTGTTTCACTGACCCACCTCTATATTAGACAGTACCATTGATTCTTTTGATATTTCTGACCTTTTCTTCTTCCAAATTATTTTTTCTAGCTGAATTATATATATGTATATATACATATATATATATATGTATATATATATATGTATATACACACATACATATATTTGGTAATTGGGATGGTATTGAATAAGCAAATTAGTTTAGGTAGAATTGACATTTTTATTATATTGGCTCTGTCCACCCATGAACAATTACTATTTCTCCAAATATTTAAATGTGAGGGTTTTTTGTATAAAAAGTATTTTATAATTATGTTCATGTAATTTTAGGGTTTGTTTTGGTAGGTATATTCTCAGGTATTTTACACTGTCTACAGTTATTTTAGATGGGGTATCTCTTACTATCTTTTCTTGCTGGGTTTTGTTGGTGACATGTTCTTTTGTGTATTCTTGCCACCTCTTCTTAATTTCTTTTGCTTCTAAGTCTGTACCATTTTTGTCTTTTACCATGCCCATTTTTGCATGAAACATTCCCAAGATAGTTCTAATTTTTTTTGAAGAGATGTCTTTCCCATTCTATTATTTTCTGTCTTTGCATTGTTCATTTAAGAAAACATTTTTTATCTCTCCTTGCTATTCTCTGGAATTCCACATTCAGTTAGGTATATCTTTTAATTTCTTCTTTCCCTTTTGTTTGTCTTCTTTTCTTAGCTATCTGTAAACCCTCATCAGACCACTATTTTGCTTTCTTGCTCTTTTTTTTGGGAGGGGAGATGTTTCTTGTTGCTGCCTCCTATACAGTATTGCAAAGCTGTGTCCATAGTTCTTTAGGTACTTTGTCTATCAGATCTAATCCCTTAAATCTATTCACCACCTCTACTTCATATTCCTAAGGGATGTTATTTATCTGTGTGGTCTGATGGTTTTCTCTACTTTCTTTAGGTCTGAATTTTGCCATAAGAAGCTCATGATCTGAGCCACAGTCAGCGTCAGAGCTTGTTATAACTGACTATATATAGCTTCTCCGCCTTTGGCTACAAAGTATAAATCAATCTGATTTCCATATTTACCATCTGGCCATGTCCATGTGTGGAGTCACATTTTGAGTTATTGAAAAAGTGTTTGCTATGATCGCGAGTTATCTTGACAAAATTATTAATCTCTGCTCTGCATCATTTTGTACTCCAAGACCAAACTTGTCTGTTATTGAAATTATCTTTTTTTTCCCCCAGAGGCAATCAGGGTTAAGTAACTTGCTCAGGATCACACAGGTATTGTTAAGTGTCTGAGGCAGGATTTGAACTCAGGTCATCCTGACTCCAGGGCTGGTGCTCTATCTACTGTGCCACCTACCTGCCCTCCATTTATCTTTTTCTTAACTTTAGCATTCCAAACCCCTATGATGAATGTGACATCATTTTGAGGTGTTATTTCTCCACGTTATAAATCTTGAAAGAACTGATCCATTTTGGCCTTTCTGGCATCACTGGTTGGAGCACAGACCTGTATTACTTTGATGCTGAACAGTTTGCCTTGGATTCAAAGAGATATCATTCAGTCATTTTTGAGATTATACCCTACTCTGACTGCTTTTCTTGCCCTTTTATTGACTATGAGGGCTACTCCATTTCTTCTCAGAGATTCTTGCCCACAGTAGTATGCATAGTGAACATCTGAATGAAATTCGCCCATTCTGGTCCATTTAAGTTCTCCGACACCCAACATTTCAGTGTTTAATTTTCCGTCTCCTTTTTGACCATGCGCAGCACACCTCAGTTCATAGATCTTACGTTCCAGGTTCCTATGCTTTACAGCATCAGACGTTGCTTTTCTCACCAGATGCGTCCTCAGCTGAGCTTCCTTTTGGATTTGGCCCAGCTGCTTCATGAGTTACCAGAGCTACTTGTAGTTGCCCTCCATTGTTCCCCAGTAGCACAGTGGACACCTTCCAACCTGAGAGGCTCATCTTCCGATGTCATCTTTTATCATTTTGGTACCATCCATGGGGTTTTCTTGGCAGATACTGGAGCAGTTTGTCATTTCCTTCTCTAGTGGATCACCTCTCGTCTGAACTCTTCACTATGACCTGGCCATTTTGAATAATTCTGCACAGCACAGCTGGTGGTTTCATTGAGCTGTGCAAATTCCCCCCCCACCCAAGCATGTGATCGGAGGTGGGGCATGGAAACATCAATGTCCCTTATCCCTTTCACTCTGAACCTCTGCTGGAGGAAGGATATCATGACATAGTAATCTCAGGGTGCTAGGGTTCATTCATTCAATATAAATGCATGGGGTGATATAAAGGCATTAAAATAGAAACATTTTTGAAAAAAAAAGTGATGAATATGTATCGTAATAAGTTTGGTCAGATAAGGCCCAGCAATCTCCTTCGGGTAACAAATTACCCACTCATAACTAGATTAGCAATTTCATAGAAACCTAAGTTTTTGGTGAAATGATGTGATTCAGTCGGCCATGGGACTCCTAAGTGTTATCAGTGATAAACAGAATGTTGAATTTTTAGAGGGGACAGGAAGGGTCCAAAGATTCAGGGATAGATTGAACCTCATTTTTCAGGATGAGTTTGACTCGGGGTTTTTATTGGGACAGAACTGGATGGTTTACTCTTGTCCAGAGTAGCCTCTTAGCCAGGGCAAAATCCTTGTAGTCCATGCTAGCTACAGTCAGGGGTTCGGGGCCTTCTGAGAAGTGCTGGGGCTTACAGTCAACCACTGTAATCAATAATTGTAAATAGTTGTTTGCATGTTGTCTCATCCATTAGACTATAAGTTCCTTGAGGGCAAGGCCTGCCTGGCATATCATAAAGGTTGACTGACTGGTTTGTGCACGTCCTAACTTTCTTTACAAACTTTAAGCTCCCTATGAGCAAAGATGGATGTTTTTCATTTTTGCTTCTCCAGTACCTTGTGTGTGGAATTCCATTATGGAGAGAGCCCTGGAGTATGAGATAAAAGGCAGGGCTTTCCAGAATGGTCACCTCTTTGGTAAAATCACAGCACTAAAGTTTCAGTTTCCAAATCTGTAAAATAGGGACAGTAACTACCTGCACCCCCTACTAAACTGGTTTGGGGCGAGAGTCAAATAGTATACCATATATCAAAGCACACTGGAACAGTAAGCACCACGAGCCACTGCTACTACATGGCTCCAAGTATAGACGGCACTTTCTCTATTCCAACCTGACTGTAGAAAATGGAAGTGCAGCTCATGGACAAATACTCCCATTCTCTTTATTCTCCACTAAGCAGCTTAGGGCTGAGAATGAAATGTGACCTTTGGTTCCCTGGGGTCTCACCTTCCTCCATGAAAACGTGAAAACAGGGGTCCATTCTCTCCCAAACCATACAACACTGACCACACATAGCATAACTATGTGTATATATTTCCCCTGTAATTTGTAAGGTCACTGGCTATGTCTAAATCATGTACCCTTTGGGAGATTATCTTGGTATACAGCATGATACACATATTTTTAAATGGAAATTTAGTTTAATACCACCAAAATTTGGCATAAGTATATACCAAATATTCCTTCCCCTTTCAAAGGTCTTGTTAATTCATTGGCCCAAGTTTGGACCAATAAGCATTACTGGGTTTGTTAATATAAATTTATTTATTTTTGGTTTTCAACATTTACTTCCACAAGATTTTGAATTCCAAATTTTCACCCCATCTTGCCCCTCCCCCCACCCCAAGATGGCATGCATTCTGAATACCCCTTCCCCTAGTCTGCCCTCCCTTCTCTCTCTCCCCCCCTTTCTCTTATCCCCTTCCCCTTCTATTTTCCTGTAGGGCAGGATAGATTTCTGTACCTCATTTCCTGTATTTATTTCCCAGTTGCATGTGGAAACAATTTTTTTAAACATGTGTTTTTAAAACTTTGGGCTCCAAATTTTCTCCCTTCCTCCCACCCCACCCACCCTCATTGAAAAGGCAAGCAACTCAATACAGACCAAACATGTGCAGTTATGCAAAACACTTCCACAGTAGACATGTGAAAAACTAACTCTAGTTCCCTTAATCCTATCCTGCCCCCCCCATTTAGTCTATTCTTTCTTTTGACCCTGCCCCTCCTCAGAAGTACTTCCTTCTGATTACCCCTTTCCCAATCTGCCTTTCTCTCTATCATCCCCCCTGCTCTCTTGTCCTCTTCCTCCCCTATTTTCCTGTAAGACAGATTTCCATACCCAGTTGAGTGTGTATGTTATTTCCTCCTTAAGCCAAATCCTATGAGAATAAGATTCCCTCATTTCCTCTCACCTTCCACCTTTTCTTGTCTGTTTTGTGTGAGATAATGTACCCCATTCTACCTCTCCCTTTCTCCTTCTCCTAGTATAATCCTCTCACCCCCCCTTAATTTTATTCTCCAGATATCACCCCTTCATCTTCAACTCACCCTATGCCCTCTATCTGTCTATACATACATACGTATAATTTTTTTCCCCTCCCACTACTTTAATACTGACAAAGGTCTCATGAGTTATAAATATCATCTTTCCATACAGGAATGTAAACAGTTCAGCCTTAATAAGTCTCTTATGATTTCTCTTTCCTGTTTACCTCTTCATGTTCCACTTGAGTCTTGTATTTGAAAACCAAATTTTCTATTCAGCTCTGGTGTTTTCATCAAGAATGCTTGAAAGTCCTCTTATTTCACTGAATGACCATTTTTTCCCCTGAAAGATTATACTCAGTTTTGCTGGGTCATTACTGGTTTTTTGTTACAAATTATTCTTTAAACTTATAAGTATTAATTTGGATAAACTCCCTCCTCAACTGTTACATAAAAGGTTAACTGCATAAATACCTTTGATTTTCCACACGGGCAAACAAAGGAGTCAGCACAGGTTTTGTGTATAAAATAGAAAATTTTTAAAAATCTATAATACTTTAATAATTAATATTTATTGATAGGAAGACTGATATACAATGTAATTATTTCCTCTACAAAGAGATTTTGTACATCAAGAAAGTATTCTGAAGTCTAAAATACAAGATTTTTCTAGGAAGAACTTTACCTCTTCTTTACATTGTGTGAAATTTTGATAATTATAGAAAAAGGGAATTCAAAATCCATTTTATAAAAAAACCCTGAAAAAGACTGGGTTCCCCCCAACCCCCCCAAAAGAAGGACATGACTGAGATGAAAGGTTAATGGGGCTCCCTGGTGGCACACAGAAGGCAGACTGGTAACCCAGGACACCAAACCTGGTACCAGCTTGGCACCTTTGGGTTGTAAAGTGAAGGCAGTGAGAGGAAGGTAGCAAACATCTTCTCAAACCCCAGAGAATGCTGGTGTGGGCGTCATTCAGCTAGAAATGTGGCTCCAGCCATGCCCCAGGCAGGCCAAATGGCTAGGAAAAGACAAGTGAGCAGGTACCCATGTGGGCCCACCTGACTTCAGAGGACAACTCACATTCTTCAGTAGCACCATCACTTGCTTCCCATGGTCATCCTAAATTGTACCATGGGACACTGACACAGCACCTACCTTGACAGGGGATACTGCCCCCCCAACCTCCCAAAGAAACACTGCCTGTAAAGGTCACTTTAGCCCTTTGTTGAGACCTGAAATTCAAATATTTCACAGTAGGCTTCACACTGACATACTGATATAGAAAGGGGAAAAAAGGAGAACAGAGACAAACATTGGAGAGGATAAACCAAAGGAATAGGGTGGAATATAAGGCGGAAAAAAGGAGAAAACCATCTAGGAAACTGGCACAAATTACAAAACTTTAGGAAAAAAAAAATCACACACCAAACAAACCACAAAACCACATTTATCAGTGGGAGCAGGACTCATTTTTTTTCCCTCCTCTTATGGGTATGAATCTTAGGGAAATAAAGGAGGTTAGATGGTTTTCATAAAAATCTAAGAGCATCTGAATCAGTCATTTTAAGACATAGCAAAAATGATAAACAAGAATGAGACCCCTTCGTGGAACAGAGTTGGAGGGTGGGACATCAAATAGGGTCTAGGCACCAGGTGCAAATGCTATGGTTTGCTAGAAGAGAAATGAGCTGAGCTTTGAGCGGCTGGTGAGAGATGAAGGGATCAGTATGTGGGTGTTGGGGGAAAGGGGGAAGAGAGGAAGTGATCCGTGTGAAGGGGCAAATGCAGCAGGAGAGGGCCAACCTGCTTTGGGGTGAAGCTGCCAAGGAGACAAGAGAGGGAAGCAGTACATGATCCTGCTTTTTATTTCCTCCCAAAGTCCTGTCACTGTGATTTGCTGAGCCCCAGCCCACTGGGCATGACTGTGCTTCTGGCTGGTGGTAGGAGAGGGACCTTCAGCCACAGAATTGCTCCAGCTCAGTTTTGCAGGAGAACACAGTTCTTGGTCAGTAGTGATTCAGCCTATCATTTGGTGCAATAAAATACAAAAGCCAATCATACAGAAGTCATATTGGTGTCAGTTTCCTGCCTACCTGTGGGGTAGTTTTTCATTTTGTTTTTGCATTAAGAAAATATATACACATTTCCCATTTCACCAACCCCAGGTTGTAGCTCAGACTAAACAAAGAAAAGATCAACAGGAAAAATAGATGTTCCTACCACTTCTTCAAGATTATTTACAAAAAACAACCTGGCTGATTGGTGTCAAAATGGAAGTCAATGGATCATGGGCATCCTTTTAGGCCCAACTGTCCAATGAAGAGAATATTGCTGTGTTATGCGAGGTATAAGACAGTACTTTTCGACTGGCCTTAATTAATGACACACCCTCGTAGGAGGCCAGAAGACCTTCCCTGTATGTCCCAGCAACTGGTGAGCTGAGTGAAGGGCAAGGGGTGAGGAATGGCAGCATGTCTTGTTCCCAGGAGGCAGGTGCTGGCAGCTCCAGTCTCTCCACCAGCTGGGTTGGGTAGTGGGGATTCTGCCAGGATGCTGCTGGTCAGGGCATTATACTAGCAGTACCAGAGTGCATTCACACAGGGCAGCAGTTTCTTAGGGGCAGCAAAATGTGCAATCTGAAAATCCTCTCAAGAACTTTGGGCTCCCCTTGAAGTGTGAGATGCAGTCCACAAAGGTGGAAAAGCACTGGTATATAGTGTTCAGTCTGGCCCCAGGGGTCCTTCCGATCATTTGTTCCAGTGAAATGCTACATTCAGAGAGATGCCATCCACCTTAGAACTACGGTGAGTCCATTTGTGGACAACTAAACGGTCTTCAATGTATGGAGAGACTGAAGCTGGAAAGCAGCCCTGTTTTGGGGACCTTTAAGTGTCTCCCCCAAAAGTCAGCATCATGGTCGATGGAAGCTAAAACCAGATAGATAAGAAGGAGGTTACAATAAGCATGCACAATCAATACTCCACTCTTATCCCAGCACCGCAAGGCAAAGGTGGGCAGGTTAACCCTTACTGGCTTCACCAGGGCCACACAATCAGAGTCTCCCAAAGTGTCTCTTCATAGATCTCAAAATTCACCCAGTTCAATCCTTGAGGCCGATCTATGGCAGGACTTTCCTAGCTACACCAAGGAGTTCCCAGGCTCCTCCCAAGCCAGCCCATGCAGTGTAGAGATAACTCCAATTATCCCTTCCTTCCATGGGCACGAATTCTGCCCTGCTATCTTCTACCCATCAGTCTTTAGCTCTGCCTTCCAGGTGCCAGACAAAGGAAATGTAACCTCTTTCTCAAGAAATAGCCCTTCAAAGACTTGGAAGCAGGTCACTGTCACTGCTCCCTGCCCCCTCCTCCTTTTCTTCAGGGTAAATACTGCAGATTCTTCAGTTAATTCTTCTACAGCACGATTTCCAGGCTCCACAGCAGTCCAGTCCCCCTTTCCAGTATGCATTTCAATTTTAATATAACAGTACCCAGAGGCAAAGAAATAGAACCATCCTTGTTCTGGATTTGCATTATTACAGCTTAAGGCCCCATTAGATTTTGGGTCTGTTGTGTCACAGTATCAACAGATATGAAAAACAGGTCCTTTAGACCAACCTCACAGAGCTTTCTAAACGGACTGCTTTCTATAAATGTCATCTACAGCTAAAGAGATTGCTGCTATCCACAGTGTTAGAAAGAGAGCTTAATCAGAGCCTACTACAAACAATGAACAGTGCTAGGCACAGGGGACAGAAAGATAAAAATCCCACAGACTCTGTTCTTTCTGGGAGGGTGTGTGTGTGTGTGTGTGTGTGTGCGCGCGTGTGTACACACACAAAATTCAAAGTTATGTGAAGAGGGAAGAGAGAGGAATAAAGAGATAAGAGAAAAGTAAAGGGGGGGGGGAAAGACCACTAAAGCACTAACAATTGTGGGTGGGGAATTGAGCAAAGCCTCCTATAAAAGCTGGGCTTTGAAGGAAGCCAGGGGTTCTGAGGATGGGGTGAAGGAGGAATATATGTCAGACATGGGGTACCACCTGTGCTAAGGATGGAAGGAAGAGATGGAATGTCATTGACAAGCAACAGCAAAGCAGGTTAGTTTTGAAAAAGTATTTAAAAGCAATATTGTGAAGGGTTTTAAATGTCAGGTACATGAGTTTGGTTTTTTGAATGGCATAAGGAACAGCTAAAAGTTTTTGAAAAGGAGCATAACATAGGAAATCAGTTTGGCAGCTGGGTGGAGGATGAACTGGAGAGAGGAGAGACAAGAAACAGGAAGAACAATCAGAACTACTGACACTGGCTAGGTGAGAGATGAGGAACTGGTGGAAAAAAGGGAATGGATATGAAGAATGTTGTGGGGGTAAAGTCAGCAAGACATAACAACTGACTGGAAACATGGGTAGAGGGAGAGGGACTGTGGTGTTCATCCTTTGTTTTGGAAGAGGATCACTGGGACAAGGCAGAGTTAAGTACGACCCCAAGATTGTAAAACCAAGTGATCACAAAGATGGTGGTGGGCCAGGCCCAAGGGAAGCCTGGGTACAGATGAATTTTGGGGAAAATGAATTCCATTTTGGACATGCTGAGTATAAGATGACTTTAGGAAAAGGAGGTTGCAAAATGCACCCCAACGGAGGGAGTGTGTAGAGAGAAGAGATGAAGGTCCCTGGACAAAGCTTTTGGGGACACTTAACACTTAGTGGGTGAGTTAAAAACAGATAGACCAAAAGGGAGGTTACAATGAGCAGGCAAAATGCTCTGCCCTTTTCATAGCACCTGGAGTAACGTTAAGGGGAAGGTGGGCCAGTGCTACCTTAGGGAGGCAAGCAGAGGCTAAAAGAGGAGGAAAGAATGGCCAGCAGTGTCAAATGCCGCTGCAGAGATAAAGTGGGATGAGGTCTGAGAAAGTGGACTGACTTTGGCAGTGAGGAGAACACTGGTAGCCTTGGAGAGAGCAGTTCTAGGAAAGGTAAAGAGTTCAAAACCACACATAAGGAACTAAAGAGAATGAGAGCTGAGGAAATGGAGGCAACAAACAGTGACCCTCCCTTCTACGAGCCTGACTGTGAAAAACAGAAGAGACAGACACAGGACAACAGCTGGAGGGAATGCCGGTGCCAAGTAAAGTTCTCCTTTTTTAAAAAAAGGGAGGCCTGGCACGCTTATAGAGAGGGAGGTGATGAACAAGGAGTGACCAGAAGCTAAAGAGAGGTATGATTAGGCACAGAAGGCTGCCACAAGAGATGGCAGAGGAGGGGTCAAGAGGCCAAGGGAAAGGATGGTCATGGCAAGGACCTTCTTCTCTTCCCTCAGAGCCTGGAGTAAAGTAGAGGAAAATGGGGGATCTGAGGCGTGGAGAAAGGTAGAGAGTGCGTTATAGATGATCCCTATTTTCTGAGTGAAGTAGGAGGTAAGGTCCTTTGCTTGGAGGCAGGGGTAGAGGGAAGAAGGAGTCACAAGAGGTCTGAAAAGAGAGGAGGAGGCTTGGAATAACCAGGTAACATCATTTGTAAGTGAATTCAGTCAGGAGACATATGGTGGAGGTCTGGCAAGGTGCACAATGGGGCAGGAGATTAAAGGGTAGCTGATTAGGGTAGAACTAACCAACTTTGATAATAATAAGATGACAGGAGCTTGGGATGGGAGAAAAGAATTTTAGAGTTCCTTCCACCTCATGGAACATTTAGGTGAAGGTAAGAGCAAGGGCATAACCATTCCTATGTATAGATGAGATGAACTGAAGATGGAGGTCAAGAGAGTTTAAGAGGCAAGGCCCAGGGTGTTTGGGGAGGGGGGCAATACATATACTGAAATACATATACAGGTATGTATGAGGCAGAGAGGAAGACTGTGAGCTAGGTACAGAAAGAAGGGCAACTGACATGGAGGGTGGGCAACAACAGCAATAAGGATTTGGAACAGGTTAACACAGATGGATGGAGTGATGGAGGTAAGGAGACAACCTAGACGTCAGAATGGAGAGCAAGGAGCAGACCTAATTCCCCTTCCACCTGGCCATTAGCAGACAGCTGGGAAGCTGGATGTGAGAGAGGAAAGCCAACTGTGCTGAAATTCTCACAGCGTAGCATGATTAGGCTATAGAAGGGACCTCAGATATTCTCTGGATCAATTTCTTCACTTAGGTGGTTAGTGATGAGGAAACTGAGCTCTAGAGAGGTGAGGTAATATTTCTTCACTTACAACCTAGCTAAAACAACCAGACCTCTAATACTATGGTTTTCCCCACTCAATGAGTTTTCTTGTCCTCACTGGGAAGTCTCATTATGCTACAAGACTGAATTGGCCTGGTCCTCCCATGCCAGAGGTCCGCTGTCCCCCTCGGACTGGAGTATAGGGCTGGGGGCTCCAGGACCTCTATTTAAAGAAGAGGCTCGGCACACCTTTCTTCCCCTTTCTTCCCCAGCTATATCTGGACTTCTCCATTGGGCTCCAGCTGGGCCACCCCTCCCCAAGGCTTCCTTTGGTGCCTGGTTGACCCCAATGGATTGTAAGGTCCTCAAAGGCAGAGACTATCTTTGTTTTTCATTTGCATTTGTACCCCAGAGCTGAGCACTTCCCGGCCATGCAGCAGGTACTAAATATTTACTAAATTAACTGCCATTCTGGGTTTTTTTGCCTTTTTTTTTTTTTAGGATTCCAAGAATTTTTAAATGATTCTGCCTTGCTTTATTGTTTTGCAAGGCTTAAAAGGCAGGATTCTTTGTCTCTTACCGTGTAAAATGTTTGCTGTCTTCATGAACTTCCATCTCTGAACTTTTAAACTCATTGAGCTCCTTTCGAATGGCAGCCTGCAGAGAAGACATAAAGAGGCCTTTAGGTACTTTTCTCCTAGCCACAATCATAGTCTTGGCCAGAGTGACAGAAAGACTTCTATCAGTGAAATGGAGAAAAAGACCTATGCACATTTGCAATTCAGCAAGACTGATAAGAGAGCTGACTGATTTTTTTTAAGGTATTTCATGTTGAATTCTACAACCACTTATTAAACATCTAGTCTATGCAAAATGTAGGGTAGTGGGTAGAGTGCTGGACTTGGAACCAGGAACTAAATCTCACTTGAGATACTGGCTGTGTGACCCTGGGCAAGTCAATTAATCTCTCTGAGCCTCAGTTTCCTCATCTGTAAAACAGGGATAATAACAGGATCTACTTCACAGGGTTGAGAAATAAATGAGAAAGTGTCCATCAAGCACTCTGCCAATACTATCTCAATGTAATCAATTACTAAGGCACTGTTCTAGGTGCTGGCTATAAAGAGATAAAAAACAAGGCAGTCCCTGACTTTAGGGAGCTTGGAATCTACAGGCAGGATATCATGTGGTAGATGCAAAGAAGTGTGACTGGGCAAAGAGACCCAGACAAAGTGCTCAAGGAAGGCAGAGGGAGAGAAGATGCTTTCCCTTGGGGCAATCAGGAACATTTCATGGAGGTGGTGGCACCCGAGCTGATGCAGGAAGAGAAGGTTTTCATGTAATGAAACTAAAATACACATGTGGAGGAATAAGTTGTGGAATTAAGGAACTGGGAATATAGATGACCACTGGGTCATCTACAGTCAGCGCTGAATTTTACAAAAGAAAAACTACCAGGCCTTGCCCAAGGTCACACAGCAAATTAACCTCCAAATCAAAGTCTGGACAAATAAGAAGTAATCCCAAGGGAAGGAAGCAGCTTCTGCTCTATGGACAATTCTTTCTTTCAGTTAGTACATTTGGTGTTGTTCTTTAGTCGTTTCAGACTCTCTGTGACCCCATCAGGGATTTTCTTGACAGAGATACTCAAGTGGTCTGCCATTTCCTTCTCCAGTTCACTTTACAGATGAAGACAGTGAGGCAACCAGGGTGAAGTGACTTGCCCAGGGTCATGTAGCTCAGGAGTCTGAGGCAGGATTTGAACTCAGAGGATCAGTCTTCCTGATTCCAGGCTGGGAACTTTATCCACTGTGCCACCTAGCTGCCTTAAATAAAGCAAAAGATGTTTTCCAGGTACCTTGTCAGCAGGGGTTAACTTTGTCCAGGGCTTGTCAGCTCGCCGGTCATAGTCCTGAGCATCGGTTACCTCTACATACTCATTAAATCTCAGGATTTTCCTGGCTAAGAGTTCAGCCACTGTAGGCCTTTGACTAAGCTGAAAGAAGAAAAGAATATATTAGCTTCGTTCTAGCACTAGTTATCAGGTGCCAACCACGGAGTAAAAGCTGATTATGTATTTATGCATTTCAAATGACTACACCTATATATACACACACCTATATAAAGAGATTGGACTATCTAGAAATAGGCAGCTATATTTTCTGTTTATAAACAAAGAGTTCATTTTTTAACATAAGGTGACTATGCATGTGAAAGTTACAAATACCAACTGAGAGAGGACCTCTAAAACAGCCCAAGTAGGTCACCAAAGGAGGCGTTTTCATTCATTCTTCTATCTAAGATGGTCACCTGTTTCACAACTGCCTGGGGAAATGAGGAGAAGAGAAGGCTCGCTCTCTCCTAGGCTTCCTGGAGTGTCTAGGGTCATCTAGCACAACCTGTAGCTGACCAGGAATCTGCCATCATCAGCTGAGTCTGTGCCCAGCCTGGAGAATGTCTATCCATAACTGGAGCACACTGTCCTTCTCCAAATATTTCCTGCTGTCTTCCTCTCTCATTTGCTTTAAAACTTCAGCAATTTAAGATATAGAGCAGACAGTTGCTTGGCATATAAGATTCCCCAGGAGGAAGCTTCACAGTCTTTTTCTTCTAAATTTTTGTGAATAATAGAAATGGTTTGGGAAAGAAGCTCCTAGGTCATCCAGTACAAACTGGAACTAAGCGGGATTCTGCCCTACCACAAACCCAATATGGAACAATTCAGCTTTCCACTAATGGTGAACAAACGACCTCATGAGGTATTCCACTCTTTTTTTGGATCATTCTAACCATAAAATAATTTCTTCCTTGTATTCAACCAACATCTGTCTCTCTCTAATTGACAGGATCACACATTCAGAGCTGGAAGGATATCAACTCCAAACCTTTGATTTTGCAGATGAAGACACTGGGGCACAGGGCAGTTAAGTCCCCTGTCAAAGTCCCAACAGCTAGCAAGTATCCAAGGAAGGTTTTGAACCCAGGTCTTCCTGGCTCTGTCCAATAGACCATGCTGCCTCTTTGACCCATGACTGCTAGATGCTGTCTTCTGGAGTCGAGCAAAACAAGTCGAAGCTTTCTTATACACGACAAGCCTTCAAACCTTGGCCAGGAGGAACTCTCCAGGGCTTCTCTTCACACCACGAATCCTCACAGAACGTAGCTCTACATTTCTCTGATATCCTGGTCACCATCCTTGGACACCCAGCTAGTTTATCAAAGCTTTTCCTGAGACAGATGCCCAGAACTGGGTCTGAAGCCCCCTCAGACGGTCTTCCTACATCACCTGCCTTGTTTAGCGGCCCTGACAGTGAATGAACCTTGGGCTGGGGACTCAGTGAGAACAAGGGCCACTGAAACTCAGTTTTCACACAGATTACTGTCTAGTTAGATCTTTAAAATTAATGTTCTACTGATGTTTTTTGTATCTACATCATATTGATTTCTGATAATGAACCTCCCCTACTTCTCTACCCAACGAACCTTCTTGTGCAAGCAAAATTTCAAGCAAAACTCCCTCAAAAATCTAGTCCAGCAAAACAAACCAGTCATACCTTTTTCATCCTAAAAACACAACTGTTGTTATTACAGCACAGTCATTTCCCAAGAAACTTCCTCTCTGCCTTGAGCTTTTCTAATCAGCACCCATCTACATAGCACTCAAGTCTGACAGGACACACAACAAATAGCTGATGTGCACAAGAGTTGTATGGTTGTACCTTTCTGGTCAGTCGACGTTTGATTTCTCGTTTTTCTGCTTGCCGGTCAGCTTCATTTTTGGCTGCAATTAGAGGATGTGAAATGATAATAAGAATTTTTAAAAATTCAATTTGCAGAAAACACTGATCCCCAGTTATCATATTCAGTGCTTTTCACCTGGCACCAAAAGTCCACCTAGAGTACACTTGTAAGAAATGAGTCTGTGCAAGAAAAAGCTTTTCGAGTGGAGGGGAAGTGGGGGAAGGTGAGAGGGAAAGAGTGAATCTTATTCTCATCGGATCTGGCTTAAGGAGGGAACTGGGTATGGAAATCTATCTTACCCTACAGGAAAATAAGGGAAAGGGGATTGGGGGGGGGTGGAGATGATAGAAAAGAGGGCAGATTGGGGGAGGGGGTAATCAGAAGCAAACACTTCTGAGGAGGGACAGAGTCAAAAGAGAGAATAGAATAAATGGGGGTGGGCAGCAGCTAAATGGTGCAGTAGATAGAGCACCGGCCCTGGAGTCAGGAGGACCTGAGTTCAAATCTGGCCTCAGACATTTGACACTTACTAGTTGTGTGTGACTGTGGGCAAGTCACTTAACCTCGATCGCCTCACCAAAAAGCAAAAATAAATAAGTAAATAAATAATAAGCAGGGTGAGATAGGATGAAGGGAAATATAGTTAGTTTTTTACAACATGACTACTATGGAAGTGTTTTGCATGACTACACATGTATAACCTGTATTGAGCTGCTTGCCTTCTCAATGAGGGTGGGGAGGGAGGAAAGGAGAGCATTTGGAACCTAAAGTTTTATTTATTTATTTACGTTTTTAAGGCAATTGGGGTTAAGTGACTTGCCCAGGGTCACACAGCTAGTAAGTGTCAAGTGTTTGATCTGAGGCTGGATTTGAACGCAGGTCCTCCTGACTTCAGGGCCGGTGCTCTATCCACTGTGCCACGTAGCTGCCCTCGAACCTAAAGTTTTAAAAACAAACGTTAAAAATTGTTTTTACATGCAACTGGAAATAAAATGGGTAATAGAAATCTATTTGGCCCTACAAGAAAACAGAAGGGGAGAGTGACAGAAGGGAAGGCAGATTAGGGGAAGGGGTAGTCAGAATGTACATTGTCTTGGAGTATGATGAGGGGTGAGATGAGGAAAAAATCTGAAACTCAAAATCTTGTGGAAGTGAATGCTGAAAACTAAAAATAAATATTTAAATAAACTTATTTTATTTATTTATAAATAAATATTTATAATATATAAATATATAAAATAAAAATTTGTAAATAAATAAACTTTAAATAAACTTAAATAAACAAAAAAAAACAAATAAAAAAAGAAAAAGAATTGAATCTCTGGGGCTCAGAGGTTGGGTTGCATAGTTTCTTAAAACTTACCAAGTGAATGAATGTGGTTTAAGATCATATTAAGAGTGTCTTGGACCTTTTTAAACCCAAACAATAGCTGTGTACCACAGTAGAAATAACCTTCAATTTGGGGTTCTAAATCTGCCTATTAGTAGGAAGGTGACCTCATCATTTGTCCTTTCTATACCTCAGTTTTCTTGTCTATAAAATAGGGATAACAATATCACCAATTAGATGCAAAGTCTTTTCTTTTTTTTTCTTTTCAAAGTCTGTTTCTCTCTTCACAATATCTCTTCTACACACCCCCTTCCTGCCTCGGACACAGTCTCTACTGTGAAGCAGGCTCTTACCAACTCATACCTGGCCTAATGCAGTAGGCTGCTGGTTGGTCTCTGCCACCAGTCTCTGTCTACTCCGCTCCATCCACTCAACAGCAAAACTGATCTTCCTAAAGGATAAGACTGACTGACAAACTGCACCCACCCTCTCCAATTCCATAAACTCTAGAAGTTCCTGACCACCTTCAGGGTCAAAGATAAAATCCCCTGTTTAGCTTTTACCCCCTGCCCTCCCTAACAGGCCCTTTCCAGGCTTTCCCGTCTCCTTACTCTCTGAGCTCCGCATCTTCTAAAATTCAGTGACACTGACTTCACTGCTATTCCTCAAACAAGACCAACATCTCCTGCCTCGGGGCATTTTCTCAGGCTTTCCACCATGCTTGGAAAGCTACTTCTCATTATCTCTTCCTCCTAGCTTCTCTGGGTTTAAGTCTCAGCCAAATCCAACCGTCTGCAAGGAGCCTTTCTGGATGCCCCTTAATTCTTCTCTGGACTGTCTCCAGTTCACTCTGTCTATCGCTTGTTTGTACATGGTTGTCTGTCTCCCTTGTTAGACTGTATGCTCCTGGAGCGCAGGGATGGTCTTTCAACATTCTTTGTATGGCCTGTACTAAGAACAGTTCCTGACACAGAGAAGCCAATTAAAAATGTTAGTTGACTGATTACCTTCCAGGGTTGTTGAGAGGATAAAATGAGGTAAAATTTACAAGGCATGCTGCAAACAACAAAGTGAGATATATGTGTATGTACATATGTACATGTGTATGACTGTATATATGTGTGTAAATATATGTATATTCGTATATAGATGTATATATAAGTTTCAGCTAGCTATTAATTTACTGACCATCCCTGTCCCTTAGTTTCCCCATTTGTAAAATGAGGATAATAAGAGCTATCCTAATTGCCTCACAGGTTTCCTGTGGGATGCAAAAAGAGCTAATGGATGTGAAAGCACTTTGTGAACTAGAATGTGTCACACATAAGTAACACCATCATTCCAGGGAAGCATAACCATATCCCCAAGATACCCTGGTCTGCTTTCAAATGCCAGCCTAACACAAACTCAGAGAACATTTAAAGAGTTGTTCTAGTTCATGCCAAGTGGATAGAACACAAAGTCCTGTTTCTTGAATGGAGCATGGAACTTTTGAAAATCCTGGGGAGCAGAAACACTGCCAAATGAGGAAGAGAGGCTAAGGAGAAGGTACTAGCTCAGCTCGGGGACTGCTCTGAGAAAGGCAACTAAATAAAACTTTCACAGAGATTACACCTTCAGTTCAAATCCTTGTTACTACGCTTATACAGAAAACACACAGGGGGACTCCCATAGATTCTTCCAGTATTTAAGATACATCAAGCATAAAACTAGGCTAAGTAAAACAGTAACTTTTCTAACATACGAAGTCACCTCAGTGACAGGTTCTATGTATATAATCGTAAGATATATTCCAATGTATACAAAGTGTTTTGTAACTCTCTTTTTTTTTTTGGCTAGGCAATGGGGTTAAGTGACTTGCCCAGGGTCACACAGCTAGTAAGTGTCAAGTATCTGAGGCCAGATTTGAACTCAGGTGCTCCTGAATCTAAGGCCAGAACTTTATCCACTGTGCCACCCAGCTGCCCCGCTTTGTAACTCTTAAAGCACCACAGCAACATTAGCTATTGTGATGACCACCACCATCATTCTGTGATGCTTCCAGGTGAACAAAGCCCATTCTTCACACAGTCTTTGGCCCTAGGTAGTCCCAATGTTACACTATTGTGGCTTACGTAGAGACTTTCAGGTACTTTGCTATTGTCCTACTCCAGGTGGCCCAGCAAGGTCAATTTTGTAGGGGGAACGACTCTTGACAGGAATATTTCCCAAGGTGGCAAGTACACATTTCCCCCCTCCTTGTTCTTAAATTCTGCTTTTGTGTAACGATACTTAAGTCAGAAATCAAACAAAACATACAAGATACAAAAAGCCCCCAAACACCCCAGCCCAGCTTAGTTCTAGCGCCAGCTGTTACTTACGCTGGAGTATGTTCCTTTGTTCCAGCTCTTCTGCTGTTGGTCTCTGACTCAGCCGTCTAAAAGGCCAAGAGAAGGCATTAAGGTCGTGCCCTACGCTCGCTTTGGGTCACTGGTGTATCACAGGGTCAGCAACATTACATTTTCTACCACTGACAGCACAACCTTGCTAGAATCGGGGAAAGCAGCACATTCCATCCATGAAAATGGCATGTTCAGATCAACCTTGAACTTCTTGCACAAAGATGCCTCATATGTACTTTATAGCAGTTTTCATCTAAGTTTTTCAGCTGTCATTGCCAATAAGACCTTTTTTTAAAAACTTTTTTTTTGGGGGGGGGGCTAGGCAATGGGGTTAATTGACTAGCCCAGGGTCATACAGCTAGTAAGTGTCAAATGTCTGAGGCTGGATTTGAATTCGAGTTCTCCTCACTCCAGAGCCAGTGCTCTATCTACTGCACCACCTAGCTGCCCATCCAATAAGACCTTTTAATACTAGGGAGACCTAGATAAGAATACCAAGGTCTCTGCAGTAGGGTCATGAAGGGTAAGATCTTAATTTCTCTCTGCAAGGTTCCCAGGGGGTGACCACCTTCTTGCTAAATCAAAGGACCACTAATTTCAGAGTCCTCATTGTTCCTGACACAGCAGCAGTGGCCTCTGTCTACTGCTTCTTTATACTTTTGACCATGCTGTCTCATGGTTCTTTGCTGCATGTTCATCATCCGAGTTTCCTATGCTGAAGGTTTGTTTGGCTAAAGATCATCAGCTGCCATGGAGACAACTAGCATACCTGCAGATATAACTCCTAAATCTACACATCCAAGCCTCCTTTCTCTACCAAACTCCATCCGGTCCCACATGTGTCTAAATGACAATTCCACATGGATTTCCACAGTTGGGGAAACATGAAAAACCTATTTAGCTAAACAAAAAATAATAAGAATAACTATTTCTCAAATTTAAAGTCTTTTTCCAGATTTTTTCCTTTATAAAGTGTGAAAAAGGTCAAGAACCAAAGGTAAAATTCTGGAATATGGATTAAAGGTGATAAATTTGGAACCATAAACATCTCCAGACTAGTGAAAATCATGGGCTTCTCCATTTCCAGAAAGAAGTTAGGACCTCCCTAAGGACAGTACCAGCTTTCCCCACTCTGAAAGGGTCAAGATACAGATCAGAGAAGTCCTTTTGAACTTTTCAGGGTGCAGCAGAAGAAGTGCTTCTAGAATTAAATTAAGTTGCTTTTCCTTGGTAAGAGGGAGTAGATGATAAACAAAAACTGCACTGCAATATGACCTTTTCCTGGTTTAAAACCCTTACAAACTTTACTTCAAATTCTCTCATATTAGAGATGTCCAAAGGCAGAAGAATAGGGTGAAGATGGACTATGTCATTTTAGATATTTCTCTACATCAGAAATGTTTGCAATTAGGATGATAAATTAATTTCGACAAGACTGCTTCTGCCAGACTTGTGACTGAAACAAAAAGGATAGTATTGTTTTTTGCACAGAGGACAGCCCAAACACAACATATCCAAAACAGAATGTACTCTCCATTCCCCCAGCAAAATGTCTCTGTCTCTGACACACACACACACACACACACACACACACACACACACACACACACACACACACACACACACACACACACACACACGACTCCCTGAGTCAGTGAGCCTCTCTTCCCCAGAAAGCTGCTCAAGTAACATTCCTAAAGTTCACACTGGACCATACCATTCCTCTGTTTAAGAAGATTCAGGGGCTGCCCATAGAATCTAATACAAACTCTTCTGTTTGGCATTCAAAGTGCTTCACAATTAAGAAGAAGGAATATTTGAGAGATGTTGCCAAGATGGAATCGACAGGCAGGCATTGACAACAACTTGGATATGGGTGGGGGGGATAAAAGAAGAGGTGAGAGAGTGAGGAATCCAGGATGACCCGTAGGTTGGGAGTAACCCAACAGTAACAGGGAAGGTAGGAGGGAGGGAGGGTTTGGGAGAAAAGATAACGAGTTCTGGTTTGGACATGTTGAGTTTAAGATGCCTACTGGACATCCAGTTCAAGATATCTGAAAGGCAGTTGGAGATGTGAGACTGGAGGTCAGCAGAAATGTAAGCACAGGACAGACAGACAGGAGAGATATCATCTACTTCCTACCTAATCAACGTATTCCCAATCTGATGTCGTATTTCATTCCACTCCTCCTTGCTCTTTCGAGGCCAAGAGTTCAGGCCCAGCTCTGATTCACTAGGTTTACTATTCAACTTCATGGCCAGAGTATCTTTCCTCTTCACTTTGTTAGCCAGAGCACCTGGAGAATATGGAGGAGACAGAAGAGGGATGGTTAGGGTGAGAACTAGTAGTCTACCTGGAATGAGGCCCTCAAAGAGAACCCCTACCCTGCCAACTTTCTCTATAACCAAAAAGGATGTAGACATGGCTCTTCAGTCAGGAACACAAAGGCATGATGTAAAACAGGGTAACAGGGAGCCATCACTTTGTTCAAATGGGCACACAGGAACCAAAAAGAACTTTAAAAGTACTGAGAGCATCAGGTCCCAAAAATCTTTTTCCTATTCTTCCCTTTCTCTCTTCTTGAGTGAAGAGAGGGTCTGAATTATATATAGCCTATCAAAAACAGATAAATATTTGCTGGGAAAACCTCTTACACTGGACTTCTTTTTGGTACTCAATTACATGCTGAGAAAAGACCTGGTAAGTCCCCACCCAAGTGCTTTGTCCGGGACGACTGGAAATGGAGCAAATACTGGGAGTAGCATTTACAGATTCCTTTGAGTTAGAGATGAAGGTGAAAAATCTTGCTATATTCCTGTAATGGAACAAGCCTTAACAGAATAAATGCATCTTACAGAAAATTACTTCCAATATGAGAAGCTCCAAAATATGTAGAAACAGGGAGACAGATAAAGGAGGGGGGAAAGAGCTTGCTTATAGAAAAACTGCAGGAATATAACCCTTCTCAAACAGGAATAAATGGAAGACATTAGGGCTCCCCTTATTGCTCAGCCAGAAAAAATGGGAGACAGCTGATCATTCTGCAAGGCCTAGAGACTTGGTTGGAATGATGTCCTTTCCATGTCAACTTGCCCCCATCATTTTGGGGTTTTTTTTGGCCAGAGCTACTCTCTAACCCTTCTGTCTTTTAAAAAAATAAGCTTTGGTATATTATCCAATTGTTTATACGTGTTTTTTTGGCTCCTCCAAGCATGCGGGTGTAATAAAACAGGAGCAAGCGCCACCTGGGAAAAGGATCATTGTGGGGGAGAGATCAGGGCTCTCATTTTATGGATGTCAGAAACCCCCTTTCTTAATGGAGGTCAGCAACTGCTCTGCAGCTGGCTAACAGGTCTGCCTGAGGGTATGGAGAGGCTGAGGGCCTGCCCAGGACTGTATGGCTAGTACAGGTTTAGAGGGGGACGTGGGCAGAGGCTCTGCTGCTCTATGCTTACATCATGTTGCCTCATGTGTCACAGGATGTCTACATTCTAGGCTGCTTTTCATCTAACTACCAGCGCTGCCAAAGTCCCATACGATCACCCCACAACAGTACCACATAAATACAGACTCTAAGTCCAGCCAACCTCCTTCAACGTGCCACCAAGGGGACACACATCAAGACCATGTGAGAGGAGTTCAGGAGTGATTTACCAAGTCTGACTGATGAGAAAAACACCATCTTTCCCCCATCTATGCAAACGCTCCCCTTTCTTACTGTGCTGGCTTTCGTCTTCATCTTCTTCATCTCTATACAAAATGGGGCCCTCCGAGTCAGAGTCACTCCCCTTTTCCTCTTCCTCCTCCTGCACACACTGTGGTATGAGCTTAGGAATGACTGCGGTAGACGCCACGTCTCCAACGTAAGTTGATGGACAAGGTTGATCATCTTCCTCTTCTTCTTCATCGTCTGGACTAACAAATTAGCATAATTATTTTTTTTCTAGAACAAGCCAACTGATTATATATCAGAGGAAAATTCTAAAAACTGAGCAACAAGCCCTAAAAAATGCTCATCAGCATCAAATACTGAAGCTAAACTCCTCACTCATCTACAACAGTTTTTCTGAGAAACTCCTACCCAGGCTTCTCTTTGCCCCAGACTATCGCGATCTCTACAATCCACTGTAGTGACATACGAGATTGTTCTGGGTTCTAGGAAACTGTAACAGAGCAAAATACTGATTGTGTGTAAGGAAGAAGAGAGGGCAATGAGATGAAAAGTCAAGTTTTCCCCCCCTGACACTGCAGGTTTAACATTATTCTTCACATCCTAATGCACTGGTGGTGGAGTTGTGAACTGATCCAGCCATTGTGGGGAGCAATATGGAACTATGCCCAAAGGGCTATAAAACCATGCACACCCTTTGACCCAGACGAGACCACTACCAGGTCTGTATCCCAGAGATAAAAAACAAAAAAGAAAAGTACCTATACGCACAACAATATTTATAACGGCTCTTTCTGTGGGGGCAAAGAATTGGATATTGAAGAGATGCCCATTAATTGGGGAATTACTGAACAAACTGTGATATACGACTGTGATGGAATATAGTGAAATGACAAGCAGGATACTCTCAGAAAAACCTGGACTTATATGAACCAATGCAAAATGAAATAAGCAGAGCCAGGAGAACATTGTACACAGTAACAGCAATACTGTACAAGGATCAATTGTAAATGACTTAGCTATTCTCAGCAAAACTATGACCTAAGAGAATTCCAAAGGACTTAGGATGAAAAATGCTATCTCACCTCCAGAGAAAGAAGTGATAGAGTCTGAATGCAGACTGAAGCATACTCTTTTCACTTTCTATATTTTTCTTGTTTTTTTTTTGCTTGTGTTTTCTTTCATACGATTAATATGGAAATATACTTCTCATGACTACACATGTAGAAACTATATAAAATTGCTTGCCTTCCCAAGGAGGGAGAGAATTTGGAATTAAAAATTATTAAAAATAATTTGTCATGTAACTGGGAAAAAACAAAATATTAAGTTAAAAAACCCCCCATTATTATTCAGTTTATTTCAAGCTCCCAAACTGCCTCTTTACCTATTGTGGATGGCCTGAGATAAATACTTGTGAATGCAAATGATACAGCTGAAGCAAATGACCTATTGAACGGTGGAACCTTGACAATGCTCTCTAGAGATGAGCTAATTATAAAATCTTCCAGGCCACCAAATGATGTGAGTCCAGTCAAAATTGTTCTCAATACTTGTAGGAAATGGGCAAACCATGCAAGAGCAAACACGGGCTTGAATAAGATGCTTTAAATGTTGATAGGAGGGATCCAGAGACACAATTTTGCTTGGGGAAGGTTGGAAACCAAAATGTTTCCTAATTAACGAGTGAGGTGGTTGACTCTGCACTTGCAGAGGGGCTTGCAACTTTTGGGCTAAACTAAAAAGCTCCATCAAGAAAGGGATGACTGTAGGGAAAAGACCCAAAGTAGTGGGCCTTGTGAGAACATCTTCCCTTGTTAAAACCAAGAAAAGCTTATCTGTCAACATAAACCTTTTGGTTTTAAAATTCCGTACATGAGAATCAGAGACATTTTTGAGCACTGTCAATATGGGAATTTATTTTCACTATGTATGCATATTTATTCTGAGGGCTTAGTTTTTTGTATTTTTTAACTGGAGGGAAGTGAGGAGAAAAAAATAAATGTTTGCTTTTAAGATACATTGAAAAATTAATTTTAAAAATGATCTTCATGTAGATTTTTATAAGAAATAGAAAGGATATATGTAGTAGCTAGAGAGGCAGACTCAGAATCCGGGAGACCCAGGTAAAGTCTAACCCTCCAAGTTAAACACTGACTGGGTCACTGTGGGCAAGTCACCTGAACTTTGAACACTCCAAGTAACTCTCTAAAACAAGGGTCCTTAATCTGGGGGGTAAACTTTTTTCTAAAAATATTTTGGTAACTACATCAATACAATTGGTTTCTTCTGTAATCCCATGCATTTTATTTTGTGTACTTAAACATGTTATTCTGAACCTTCCTCAGACCATGGGGCAAAAGGGGCCACAACACAGAAAAGGTTATGAACTCCTGCTCTGAGGCAGTTAGCTGGCACAGTGGATAGGGCACGGGCCTTGAAGTGTGGAGGATCTGAATTCAAATTCAGTCCGAGATACTTGGGGGGGGGGAGAGAGAGAGAGAGAGAGAGAGAGAGAGAGAGAGAGAGAGAGAGAGAGAGAGAGAGAGAGGAGAAGAGAAGGAGATGGGGGGGGCAGGGAACCCTCCTCTAAGACATTCCTAAGAAGATTAAATCACTAGCCTGGCCAAAAATTCTTTACAAGCTAATAATTCTAAATAGCAAGACATTTATGTACATTATTACAATTCTCCCTTCAATGCTAACTTGAGAGGGAGGAGTGCAGATTTTATGAAAGACTTAAATGGCACTCACACTTTAAGCATTTCAATGGTGATAGGGAGCGACCTCGTCCGACCCAGAGTACCATTGTCTTCAGAAAAGCCTTTGCTGTTCTCAAACAGCAAGGAATGAGCCCTCTGAGACTCCTCCAGTGGTGGGGTGATGGGCAGAGGGGAAGTCAAGGCTTGTTGGATGCGGATGTGCAGTGGTAGTGGGGGAAGCCGAGAGGGTAAGACGGACTCTCCAAAGCCCTGGTCAGGAGTCTTCTTGGGCGCTTCCAAGGCCTGATCTTCCAGCTGAGGGACGTCTAAAGGTAGTTCTAGGGAGGGTGGGTGCTCAATTTCTGGCACAATTTGAAGAGTCTTAGGAGGCAATGGAGGAGAACATGAGGGTTCAGGAGGTATATGAGTAGGCAGAGGGGGAAAAGGGGAGGGAGGCGGGATCATCAGGACTGAACTGGAGGCAGAGGAACTGGTCCCCTCTCTCTGACCATTTGAAGGTTTTGTTGTGGTGGCAGCAGACTCCAAGGAAGGCACCAGAGGAGGCGGAATCCCTCTCTTGGGTGGTAAAGGTGGGGATGGTTTTGCTAACAATGTGCCACTGTTGATTGCTTGTGAAAGTTCAGCTGTAAAGAGAAGAGAAACACCTTAGTTTAACTTGGAATTTAGCGATGGAGATAATCAGGATAGGCAATGGTCCTAACTACTGCAGCAAAAGGATATAAATCTTAGTCATGTAGGCAAATCACCGAATTTCATAACCTTATTAGTTGCTTCAGAAATTTCATTCCCAAGCAAAATTCACCCAAAAAGGTTGAAAGATAAATTTTAAGATTTCTTAGAAAAGTTCTTCCTATTTCCAAGACACTTTGTAGATGGTAAAATTTCAGTTTAATACCCAAAATAACAATAGGTAACAGTTTTGGTTCTGATATCGATTCAGACAAAAGTGGCTGATTAAGTGTGAATGGAGTCAGAAAGACAAGGAGTTCCTCTGGTGATTCATTCTTCTGTAATCAACTAAAACAAAAGGGCACAACAGCAAAACAAATGTTAGAAGGAAAGAGGAGTTAAGCAACCTACTCAGATAATTAATGATACTTTCCGTTTGCATCATGGAACTGAATGACTTATCAAAAACATCTTGCATTTACATAACACTTTTCCTAGCAGAACTTCAAAGTGCACGTTCATATTATTTGGTTAACTGAAGTTGTAAGGCTACAGAAGGGCAGACATTATCACTGCCATCTTATAAAAGAGAAAACTGAGGCTCACAGAAGTTAAGGGACTTGCCCACTAGCACACGGTCAACGAGAGCTGAGTCAGAACTGGCAGGGAAGCCTCCAGATTCCTATTTCCTCCACCCACAAGATCACACCTGCCTCTTGCCTTCTCCAATATCAATAGTTACTCAGGTCCATATACCATATGGAGAGGGTTGTTGTTCTCTCATTTCAGCTGTGTCCAACTCTTTGTGACCCCATTTGAGGCTTTCTTGGCAAAGATAACTGAAGTGGCTTGTCATTTCCTTCTCCAGCTCATTTTACAAATGAGGAAACTGAGGCAAACAAGGTGAAGTGACTTGCCCAGGGTCACCCAGCTAGTAAGTGTCAGAGGCCAGATCTGAACTCCAGATGAGCACCAAGCCTGGCGCTCTCTCCACTGTGCCACTTGGCTGCCCTACAACGATGTGTATTCCCACGCAATTCCCCAGGGCTCTTTCTAGTTCTAGTGCTAACTCTCACAGTCTCAGAAAGGTCCCCTAGAGAAAATGCCTCAAGGAAATTTAGAAGTCCCCAGAAACATATAACAACATCCAGGGTTTGCCTCCACTAAAAGAAAAGCGTTCAGAAGATGGAGTCTTGCTCCATTCTGTCTTCTCTTACCACCTCCTAATTCCTCTTTGGAAGCCCATTCAACATTTGTAACTCATCCCTCAGAGCATCCACTTCCCTCAAGTAGCCCCTCAGTGCCTACCCAACCCAGACAGCCCCTCGATCCAGACTCCCTGAGAATCCAACAGCGGGCCAAGTAAAAACCTTGCTCAAGACTCTGTTTCATGAAAATAACACACCAACTATCAGGCCTTGGTTGCTACTGCAATCCAACTACACATCACATCACGTTCTGTCAACCATTAAGATTCAAGCTGCCGTCGTTCAGTCAGTCATTCCAGTACTGTCCAACTCTCTCTGACCCCGTTTGGAGTTTTTGTGGCAGACATACTGGAGTGATTTGCCATTTCCTTCACCAGCTCATTTTGCAAATGAAGAAACGGAGGCAAACAGTGTAAAGTGATTTGCCCAGGGTCATATGTGGAGTGTCTGAGGCTGGATTTGAACTCGGGTCTACCTGATTCCGGGGCCTGTGCCACCTACCTGTTTCAATATCCAGGTGAATAAAAATTATGCAAACACTTTCTCAAGCCAAGTGTTTCCCAAATTACTTAATGAAACTCTCAAATGCAGGGCATCCTTGACAAGGACAGAAGAAGTTCGGGGGGAAAGATTTTTATAACTCTTAGCAAGCTATCAAAATGTTATTAGCACAATGGGCTTGCTCTAGGTCTTTTGATAGTTTAGTGAACACCAGTGCAAGGATGGGGTGTCAACTTTACTAGTGGAAGTAATTCCAGAAGCTATTAATAAGAATTCTGAAAAATATGAGAACTGTTAACCAAAAACGGAGATCAAATATTCTTCTATTTTGGTTCTGGACTAGGAGTTCCTTATATGACAAATAGGATATGGTGCAGAGGAGGTTTTCACTTCTAGTTCAGGGAATTTCATGCCACTCTTCTATCTTTTATCACAAATTCCTTCTGGGCTCATAGTAATATTGAAATATTTCTGGGTATTACAGAAACCAGTGCAGTACATTGTTTATATCTGCAGTCAGCGGATTTAGTTCAAATCTAGGCTCTACCAATTAACCACCTATATGAACTTGGAAGTACCAACGCAGAATAATAAATGAAGAGTTGGCCTAGGAATCAGTAAGACCTGGGTTCATGGCTTACCTCTCACATATACTGGCAGGGTGACCGTGGGTAAATCACTTAACCGCTCAATGCTCCAGGCAAATGCAGAGAAGGGGCTGATGGGCATGAGTAGAGGGATGGGCTTCACCAGGCCTATGTCGGTGAAATGACCATTCCTGTCTCAGTCCCAGTCCAGAGGCCTGGAATTCCTTCATTTTAAACTAAATGGGGCTGGCTTAGAGGACCTCTTAAGTCGGCTGCTACACTAAATTGATGACTGTATGATGAATAATGAGATCACATCCCCAACAAAGTGTCAAAGTCAATATCACAGTAACACTATGTATGTGTTTGTTGGAAAAGGGAGGGAAGGAAAGCAGGGACTTGGATAATCTGGCCCTTGGCCAGAAAGGTTATGGACTCAAAGGGACGCCAAGGGCTCACCCAGAACAACCCCTTTCTATGGCATCATGGAGCAGTTTGTGAGGGGGCCGGTAACAGCTGCCTGGAACCCTGCCCTTTCTATGGCGTGATGGAGCAGTGTGTCAGGGGACTCTGCCCTTTACGCCAAGGACACATGCTGCTGGGCTGCTAAGTCTCTCCAGCTGCCCCCTTTAGGAAGCTGCAGCAGAGATGAAGGAAGAAATCCCTGGACTGGGAGAGAGAAGCCCTGGGTCCTAGTTCTGGGTCCGACACCACCTGTGTAACTCTGGTTACGGTAGTGAGGTTTGGGGTCTCCAATTTCCTGCCCCACAGAACAGACAAAACCGTCTCTTCCTGTTCTGTATTGGTGAAAGCACTGGACTTGGCAATAAGGAAAGCTGGAATTGAATTTGAAACTTTAACCTTGATTAGCTGTGTGACCAAAGGTCAGCCACTTCCACCCACTGTCTCCTCATTTGTAAGAATGGGAAAACACCTGCCGTTTTCCTCAGAGAGATGCTATGAGGAAAGCTCAGCATCAATGGAGCTTTTAGAGAAAGAATTTATACAAGCTCTTTGAATCTTAAAGGGCATGGCACTCGATAAAAGCAAGGCAGGGATGACAAACCATCTGTAACCTGTTCCTACCCCCCCTCCTCCAGCCACCCCACCCCACTTGAAGGTGTTGGCAAGTTTAACAAACTCATTTTCTATTTTCTAATTATTGGTAAAAACTTTCAAATAGAGGAAGCTGAGGAGCTATCCCCTGGAAAACCACCCTCAGCACTGCACCCTTTCCCTCTGGCTCTGAATTACTGATTAAGGAAGGCTTCAACCAGCTCTGGCATTCGAGGAAACTGGGATCTAAAGGAGTCTGAAATAAATGCGAAAATGTTCCATTCTGTCACTTAATAACTAAAAAAAAAATGACTGCCCTTCATGAAGGAAGTTCTGTGGCAAACTGAAAACAAACAAACACAATAAACAACACCCCACAGTAGGGAGATTGAGTTTCCAGACATAGTCTTTGTTATTTATGCACAACAAGGTGAGGGTTAGTCCCTGCCTCTACGGGTCCAACCTGCTATGTGAACACACCCATTCCCAGAGCTGGTTACAAGGATCATCTCCTCTTCTACAACAGCCAGAGGCAAGCAGAGACTGGAAAAAAGGCAAGAGGAAGGAAACAGAAAAAGGAAGATCTCTGAGGACCCAAAGAAGCAGAGGCCTCCAAATACGGAAGGCACCTCAGAGGTCATCTATGCAACCAGTCAGAAGTACCATTTCTGCTTACACTATCCCCTGACAGATGGTTGTCTGGCCTTTGCCTGACACCTCCCAATTACAGGGGGTTCAGCACCTTTCAAAGCAGCCCAGTCTCCTATCTGGTCAACTACAGCTATAATGAGTAGGCAGTTTTTCCTTAGGCTGAGTCTAAAACTTCCTTCCAAATTCTATTTCTTGACACCACATGGAATCAGTCCAATTACCCCTTTCTCCTGAAAGAGCCCTTCATGTATTTGCTTCTAACAACCATTTCCCACCACCCCATTCCTATTCTCACCCAGCTGGCAATTCTTTTCTTCTTCAAGGGGAAAAAAACAATGATATATGGGTCATTATTACTGGGTAGATTTTCACTCCCACTGCTGATTTTTAAATGACCGAAATCCTTCTGTAACACATGTAATGTATTTGTATGTATGGTTTTATATATGTTTAAGGTAACATTTGTTAGTCAGTTTTTAGCCAGTAGGTTACTTGAAAGCTGGGTCCATAAGTAACGTTATATACAGTCCAGGTGGGCTTAGCATATAAGTAGGGTTTAAATGTTAGTCAATTAAACATTTTCATTTATCTGTAATGAGAAGCCGCACAAACCAGGAAAGCTATGGAGAAAGTCACAATAAAGATAAATACTTTAGAAGCTTCTCAAAGATAGCTCAATTACAATCTGCAGCCTTCACTTACTTAGGTGCTCAGGCATATCAGTCCTAATCCAAGCTTCAAGAGATAGGGTTCCTGAGACCAGGGAGTCTTACAAGGGCAGATATTTGACAAACTGAGATGAACTGACAAATGATCCAAGCTCTACTTAAACTTAGGCTTTTAAGTTAGTAAAATCTAGTAGAATAGGTTCAACACAACACCCCTCATTTATTACTGGATCACCGATCAACACAATTCTGGCCATTTTCCAAATAATAATTCTTAGGATCCTAATGAGGGTTGGGAGGGACAGCAGATCAGTGACTGGGAACCTGCAACCTCGAGGCCACATGTGGCCCTTTAGGTCCTCAAGTGCAGCCCTTTGACTGAATCCCAACTTCACAAAACAAATCTCCTTAATAAAAGGATTTGTTCTGTAAAACTCAGACTAGGTCAAAAGGCCACACCCAAGGACCTAGAAGGCAACAAGTGGCCTCTAGGCCACAGATTCCCCACCCCTGGATAGGTCAGCCCACTCAACCCCGAATGCGACCAGGAATCTTCTCTAAATCAGGCCTGCTCTAGCCTCTCTTTGAAGAACTCCAGTGACAGAGAATACAAGATACTTCTTAGGAAGTCCCCCACCTTTTCTCATTAGCAAGTTCTTCATCAGGTTGAAAAAAAACAAACTACTCTTAATTTCTTCCCCATGTTCCTTCTGAGCCAGAATTACAGCAACCTAAAGGATGCCGGCTGGGGGCTCATAACATGATTTTTTATTTTCCCTGCAATGTCCTAAATGAAACCTCAAATACTAGAGACTGCATTACTCATTCATGTCATTTATAGACGTTTATACATTTAAGTCATCAGGGTAATTCATCTGGACCCTCAAAAAAAACACTTACCAGCCAAAAGGAAGCACTATCATGGCTAAATCTTCTGGCCCCACGACTCAGTTTTCATACCTAGACAAGTTTTCAAAAGTTTTCTCCTATTTAGGTAAATTTAAAAACCAGATGTATTACATACACATTTGTGCACATGTACACAAAAGTGGTGTGTACACATGACAGTATTTCCTTTAAAAATATACCCATTCTTCTCTTGTTAATGACTACTACAATTTCCCTGTACTGTGCCAGACGACGGCTTGAAGAGTCACTTACCGATAACAGGGCTACTGTTCCTGTTGGCTGGCTTAGGGGGAGGGATGGGGGGCTGCTTGGCAGGGGCAGTCTGGGTCATATTCAAGGTGGCGGTCGTGTTAGTGCTGACAGGAACAGCAGGCAGAGTCCTAGGAGCTGGGGAAGGGGTGCTGGAGGAACTAACTGTCTTTGCTAGGCCTGGGGCTGCAGTGCTGGCAGTAGGCGCTGTGGAGGAGGAGGAAGAAGAAGTGGAGGAGGAGGAGGAAATGGTCCTTGCAGTGCTGCCACCAGTGGTGTCATCTGCTTGCCCATCGCTTTCTTCCTGAGAAGATGACAAGGGTCTTTTGGGTCGGGGTAAAAGCGACTTGGGTGCTGGCTCGGGAATGAGTTCCAATTCAGAACTGGGCCGAATTCCGGATGAGCCTGTGGAAGAAAAATTATTGTTGTTTTGTTAAAGGAGAACAGATTTGGTGGAGATAGAAGGCATCATCTTGAACGGGGAATTAATTCATTCAGACATGGGTGATCAAGGCTCTTTACAACAAGCATCTCCTTATTCTTTCCTCCCCACTTCTGCTACCATTTGGCTGTTTCTCTTCTCAATAACTATTTCACCAGAGGGTGGGCGAGAGGAATGATCAGGGTAAAATTCCACTGAACTCTGTTCTCACTTTCGCCATCAGCCAGACACATTCAGCATTTGCTGCTCCTGTCCCTTTGAAGTTCTGCTTCAGACCCAGAGCCCAACACAATGATATGCTCACCTGGTTGCATCTTTGGTTCCTCTCCTGAAAGAGGCTTCTTAAACCTTGATATCCTTCCTAGCTCCTCCTCCATCTGGCCAGGATTAGAAGGCCCAGCATTCCCAATAGGAATGGTGTGGCCATTCTTTAATGAAGTATGGCTGAACTTCCCAGAATCTTCTCCACCTGTTAGGCAGAGAGAAAAAAGAAGTCCAAATGAAGAAACCAACAATAGACTATGGGGAGAAAAGCCAGTGCTGTACAATCTTTCTCACACCATAGATTTTATTGATGTTAACTCCTTTTTAATCTAAGCTCTGCGGATAAATGATGCTGATTTTTGTCTTGGAAGCCTAGATAAAAACAAGACTAAAGTGAGGAACCACTAGACTGCATGAGTGAATATGTAACCTCCTATGGTGCTGGTATAAAACTATGAATCGTCCCAAAGGTGACAGAAGGTTATATATGCCATGGAGAGATTCCTCCAGAAAATGACTGGGTTCTACAAGGGGAAGAGAAAGGAATAAAAGAAACCCAACTCCTAGAAACCTCTCATTCTGGTGGCAGAATCACAGGGATATGCCCTGTGGGTTTTGCAGGAGTTGGCCTATTCCTGCCTTCGTGGGTATCAGAAATTTGAGGGTCATGTACCATAGCACTCCTGAAAGGAACCCACCCTGCCAATCACAAAAAATTCTCCACCTACCAACAGGGATCTGGAGAGCAACCATCACAGTTCAAATAGCCAGGGGATGGATTAGAAAGTGATTATGGATAGTAGAAGCAGGCAGCCAGTATATTAAAATATACTTTACAAATCAGTCTTTTTCTCATAGTTTAGGTACCCAATAGAGAGGAGGAAATCTGGGGCACCTGAAAGCATCTTGGGTCAGGAGATATGGGTTCTAGTCCCAGCTCCTCGCTGATGTGGCTGTATAACCGGGAGTATACTGCTTTTCCCTTCAAGGCTTAGTATTGCTAAGAGAAGGGGAGTGGATTAAATGATCTCTGAAGCCCGGTCCAGCAATTAAGTTTCTCTGATTACATTTCCAGGGGATTTCTCTATTTAAAAAAGTACAGGAAATATGACAATCAAAAGGCAAAAAGAAAAAAAAAGTCACACCTCTATTATTAGGACTGTGGAGTTTTTAAACATACAGGAGTACAACACAAAATAATCATTAACTTTGAAGCAGCAAAAAAGTATGAATTTCATTACCATGAGAAGAGTAGCTGACCATCTGCTAAAAGCCCATTTCCGTTAGTGGATACTCTAAAGATTCCATTTCCAAGAGGTATTTCATTTAAACAATTCCAATATGAACTGCCAAAGCCGGTCTCCTAGTAACTGTTACTGTAGCACTTGCCAGCACAGAGACAAGCAATTTGAATAAATGTGAGAGCACCTCACAATTATCTAATTCTCCTCAAAGCATTCTCCTACTAACCATGTGAGGTTGAAAGGACAATGTTGCTATCTTCCCCTTTAGAGATGAGGAAAATGAGGCTCAAAGCCCCACACCACCCACAAAGTGTGAGAGCCAGAACTTGAACCCACATCCTGTGACACTAAATCCAGGGTTCTTTTAACTAAAATCAGCTGCTTCTCCAGAGTTATAAATACTAGGAAAGGATCCATAAAGCCTATGAAAAATTTAACATTATACTGGTCAAACCAAGACCTACTGTAAAGGCAAGAAATAAGACACTTTTCCACCCCACTCCACCCCACCCCAGCACAGAGCCTGATGCCAATCCCTGTAGCAGGCCCCTGCTGGGGTGTAAAACTGAGCAGATCAGATTCAGGGCTGGTCCCCTGCATCTTCAAGGCTCCAAACGGCTCACATCAAAAGCGAGTAGACATGGCATGGAGGGCTGGCACAGAGGAACTGTAGATGAACCAGGAAATAAGGAACTGATGATAGAAGGGATCTGCTGGGAAGGACATAGGCAGAAACCACAAGGAGAGTGGGATAGCACATGTAAGAAATGAGGGACAAAGATCTACTCAAACTGAAACACGGGATTTTGACTCTAACCACCTAAATACCTAAAAGATTTCCTGATCACTAGTGTGAATGAAATGGTTATGTACATTCAACTAAACTCAGATTAACTGCAATGACCATCTTAGTCTCAGAAAATGGAAGGCAAAACCCATTTACCTTTTCTTAGGCATGTGTTGATGGGTTTTGCTTATTATTATTATTATTATTTATTTAGTACAAAAAGGGGTTCAATAAAGGGAAGGCATGATGACAGAGTGAAATGACTGTAGTATATAAAAAGACACATAAAAACTTGAATAAAATAACAACACATTTACGAAAGCATGAGAGTCTTTAGGATGTAATAAAAAGAACTCTGAACCATGAAGACATGGGTATCAATGTTGCCAATTAACTATTTAATTTTAGACAAGTCATTTTTTCTCTCTAGGTCTCAGTTTCCACATTTGTAAAATAAGAGGTTAGACGAAAGAGACTTTAAGATCCAATCTCTCTCTCTAAAATTCCATAGTTGCTCATTTTAATTAGAGACACAAACCAGAAGTACATATTGGGACTTATCCTTCACTAACATTGGGAAAACAGACCTACTGGGATTTTTCATCACTAGTTTCTGTCAATTTTTGAGTTTTCAAAATCTGGTTTAAGAAGAATTTTACTTATAGTGTTCTGCTTTTAAAAAGAATTCAAAATAAATGCAGTCATTTCCTTCATTTCAGATAAAAATATATTATAAAGAAGTCCCATAAAGAAGCAGAACAACAAAAAGTCCTATATTTATGTCAGACTTGCAGTAACACGTGAATTTCTGTGACAAACAAGCAGAGAAGGATGAGAGTAGCAATAATGGGCGCAGATACACACAGAGACAAAGGACAGGAAGCGACACCCAATACTGAAGCTGGCAAGGGGCTGGAGGATGTACAAGGCACCGCAGAACACTTTCCTTGGGTAATTCTTGACCAGATGGGCCATCTGCCAGGCAGAGATTATCATCAGAGGAGGTAGGAGTGGCGTTCTGATTTGGCAGGAGGTAGTAGTCAGCTGTATTCTTCAATTAAAGAATAAAATCCAGCTGCCAAAGGAGGACTCAACCCACGCCAAACACACACGTGCAATTGGTCAGCAAACTCACCATGCACAGGGTCCTCCAACAGAAGCCCTCTTCTAACCAGCTCCTCTCTTGGCTTTCGCATGGATATTTTCCGCTCTAGAACTGATATTAAATTGGAAACTAGAATTCAGAACCAGGCAGTAAACAGTTCAGCTTTATTCCCTGGGCAAAAAAATTATGTGGTTCAATTAATCTTTCACACTCAGCAAGGGTCAGAGGGTCACCCAGATGGCTTTAAGTTACTGAAAACTCAGGGGCCTTATTATTTCCCTTCCTCATGCAAAGGGAGGGAGGAGAGCTGCTAGCCACAGAATCTTAAAATCTTTTCCAGTTTGGACAGTGTTCTAAGATTCTGTGTTACCGCTCTGATTTTCTATGTTCTCAGGTCCCCTCCAAGTTTCCCATTGTGTTCCATGGTCCCTTGCAGTTCTGGAATGCTATAGTTTATAATTAGAATAGAGAAATACATACTTTTATAATCCCTTATACTATGGGCAGCTAGGTAGTGCAATGGATAGAACTCTAGGTCTGGAGTCAGGAAGACCTGAGTTCAAATCTAGCCTCAGACACTAGCTAGATGAACCCTGGGCAAGTCACTTAATGCTGTTTCCCTCAGTTTCCTCATCTGTAAAGTGAGCTGGAGCAGGAAATGGCAAACCACTACTATATCTTTGCCAAGAAAATCCCAAATGGGGTCAAAAAAAGCCCAACACAACTGAAAACGGCTAAATAACAACATACTATTGGGAAGGAAAGTGGTAAACATATTAGTATCATAATACTGTCACTACTTTATGAGTACATACAAAGAACCTGACTCTTTCCTAGTCCTCCTTCTCTTTTGGTCTTCCCCTTGAGACCACCTCCCATTCACACTGTATTTAATTTATAGGCACGTAGTTATTTTCATGCTATTTCCCTCATTTGAATCTATGTTTCTTGAGGGTAGAGCCTGTTTTGTTTTCTTCATATCCCTAGTGCTTAGCAAATATTAAGTGCTTAAATAAATGCCTATTTACTAACTGTTATTGTATTTGATCTGCCTAACAATCCTAGGATGTGGGCGTTGTAATTCCAAAATAAAGATTCTAGCCTTATGAATTTTTTTTAACTTAAATTTTGTAATATAATGTTTTAATTTTTTAGGCGGGAAATTTAAGGCTTACTGATGCTGCTTGATAAATCAGTAACTCAATCCATTTAAACTCCAATTCCATCCAAATGCCAATCTCTGGAATGTGGGGCTACCAGTACCCATTGCTGAGTGAATGCCAATAACTATGTGCCTATTTAATTCCAGAGAGATTAAATTTCCCACCCCCATCAGGCGGTTACATGCAGATGGGGAGAAAAGGAAGAGTCTGAGCACTTCCAAAATAAAGAATGCCTTAATCTGAGCCATGAGGTCTTCTAACTCACCTTCTGATGTTTCTTTGAACTTGTCACTGCTTTTTTTTTTCCGCCACTTCCAGGGTTTGAAGATTTTGCCAAAGCCTGAGAACTTACTTTTCCTCTTGGTAGGTGGAGTGATTTCCCCAGATTCCAGGCCATCCATGACCATCCCTGGGCCCACTGGTTGATGATCTGCTTCTTCTATAAAAGAAAGATAAGAAAGGGAAAAGTAATTTTTCCATGTACCCAAATATTGAAGACCTCCATTTTCCCCTGTGATTTCTGTAAAGGACAAGCATAAGCAAAACTGTACACTAATCCAGCCTTAAGGTATTGTCCCCAGCTTTTACATCTTCAAACCTAGTCTGAGCTCCATCATAAAGGAAAGAAAGGCCCTTAGAGGTCTTCCTTGAGCTCCCCTAGAGTTCTGTGCCCAGAGTCACTTGCCTATGGGTCAAAAATCCATTGAAGTATGACCACTATGAACAGTTTTCAGAGAACCACGACAATGTTTGTTGCTCCTTCCTGGAGGTTACATATAATCTCCTGATATAGGAATAAGAAATGTTGACATTTATAAGAAACTTTATTATTGACAAAGATCTTGTCATAAGTTATCCCATCTGATACTCTCTTGTCTGACAACAATCTCGTGAAGTGGGTAGGATGACGATAATCTCCCACACTTTAGGATGAAAAAACTCAAGTTTCAGAGAGAGGTGACTTGCTACTAAGTGACAGAGCAGGAATATGAAGGCAGGCATTCTGGGCTCTTCTCTTTACGTTCCACCACAGCTGTCCTCACAGCTGTACTGTTATGGCAACAATAATAACGTGGGATAAATGCACAACCGCAAACCACTTAATTCCCTTCCTTTTAGGACGAGGGAACTGGCATTTGGTGTGATATGGGGCTCTCAGGAGGGCATTTAAGAACCCCAAATTTGCTCCTCCATCCTCCATCATTAAAAGACCATAACTTCATATTAGCTAATGAACTCTTCTCATCTTTCTCTGTTAAAATAAAAATATTCACACAAAAGTTACTAACCTCAAACTCCCAGACTTTTAGAACACAAGAGGCCACAGAGATGACCTACTCGAATGTGTCCATTGAAAAGATGAGGAAACTGAAGCCCAGGGAAGGGAATTAAGTTGATATGAATTAGTTTTATTGGTTCACTTTCCTCCACAAAAAGCAGAGAAAGGTGAAAGAAGAGGGAAGGGGAAGAAAATGCATTTTTAAAAAGAGGAACAAGAAGAAAAATTGAGGCCTCCAAACTTTCTAGCTATAATTTTGTCCAGGAATGGCCCTGACTGTATTTTAATGAAAATGGATTAACAAAAATAGGAAAGACAACAAACTGGGAGTCAAAGAGACAGTGCTGGTTCTGACACCAATTTCCTGTGTGACTTCTGGCAAATCAACTCTCACTGGGCCTTGGTGTCTTGATCTGTAACGGGTGAAACAATCACAATCACCACCACCACCACCACCACCACCACCAGAATATCAGTTGACACTGTGAGTTAACAAGGTAACATGCTTTTCATTCCTCATAAAGATCCTGTGACATGAGTAGTGAGATATCCTTGCTTCACCACTGAAGCTCAGATCAATTAAGTGACTTACTTAATTTGCCTGGGATCCCAAGCTAGTAAATGGCAATGTGGGGCCTTAACCTGGGTCTTCCGGCTCTCATTACTGCCACTCACTTCGAGAGCTCTAGCAAACTTTCTCTGGAGCAAGACGAGGAACCTCTGGGTAGAAGGAACAGCAGAGAGTACCAGCCCATGGGAAGAGCTGAGCATGCTGGGCTTGGCAAGTTTGCTGCAATGGGAGGAGGGGAAGGCAGCTCCAGCTGGGCCAAGAGTAACAAAAGCTCAGGAAGGCAGGGAGGAAGCCACACAATGAGACTGTGCACCCCACCTCCTGTCCCAGCATTCTCTAGAGAAAACTTGGTGGAGTAGGGAGGAGAGATCATGGAGCAGAGTCTCATGTTTAAGACACAAAACAAACAAAAACACAATTCTGACATTTCAGCTGAATTTCTACTTTAAGAAAAAAGTGTGCATTCTGTATGCCAAGCCCAAAAGAAAATATAACACTTAAAACAATTTCTTCTCTGTATGTAGCAACATGATTTTTTGGTTAAGAGAATAAGATTTAGGCTAAAGAAAAAAGGCAACTACCTGCTTTAATGCCCCTGACAAGATCTGTTCAAAAAGAGAATTTCACAAATGAGAAACACTATGCTAATGACACTTTGAGGAACATACACCACTATTCTCCTAGACAGTGAATGACTGGCTGGCTTTACAGCATCATAACAGCCTGAGAGAACCTAGCTACAACTGTAAGGTTTACCGAAATTTCTAGACACAAACAGGGTTCGGTTCAAATGCCACCTCCAACAAAAGGCTTTTCATGATCTACTGCAAAACTGATCCTTCCCCCCAAACTACCTTGTGTTTCTTTTGCTTATGTTTATTTGTCTATACTATGCATTGCTTTTATTTCTTCGTATTCCCAGCATCTAGCAAAATGCTTGGAATATGGTAGGCAAAAAGCTTTTTCATAGAATGATCAACAAAAGGGGAGCAAAAGTGTATAAGAGTAGGAGAGAGATATCACCAGAGCACAGTTAAATAAAGCCACGTGATTTTTATTTCTACCTCATTCATGGGCATCTTAACTGACTCAATGCTTTAATAAGAACATTTTAGTAGTTTGAGAATTTGTCATTTCTATGTGGTATTAGAGTTCTTACTTTAATGGAGATCTAATAAAATATCAGAAGACATCAAGAATTTATGATTTCCTGGGTGGGCAATCCTTTAACTGATTCAGAATGTGAACCCCACCGAGGCTTACAATATTGTCTGCGATACTTGCTATTTAAAAAAAAAAAAGACATCACCCTTTGTTCACCCTACTGATGAGCTTTTTGGAACTAAAGACAGCCATGTCCTCACACAGCAGACACATAATCCATCAAGTCAAATCAAGAAGCATTTTTTTAAACACCCAAATGCTAGGCAGTACACTAGGCAGCAAACAAAAGCCAAAAAGAAAAAAAAGGGGAAAAAAAAGGAGCCTTTATCCTCAAGAAGCCTACATTTAATGGGCAAACAAAGACAGGAAATAAAAAGGGGGTTAAGGGAGGCGCAGGGGAAAGGTACCTAAAATGAAGTCTAGTGGCAAAATCCTGATAAAGTCACATCTTATACTATAACTTGAAGTCTCTGCAGCTTGGCAGAACGTGCCAGGGCTTGTCTTCTGCTGGCATGGCCTCTGAGAACCCAGAGTCAACTCCACTTTCTAAGGAGTCACTGGAGCAGGCCTTGAGTTCATATTTGTGGAGACCTTTACAATTCACAGTGAGCTTTCCTGAACATAATAATGATGATAATGTTAACAAATATAGTACTTTCCGGTTTACAAAGCTGGTTTTTCACGTGATTACATGTAATCTCATTTGAAGACAACCCCATAAGCCATCATGGCCATTTTAAAGGTGAGGGAAACAGTACGTGGAGAGGTCATGAGTTTTCCTCTGTAAGTATCAAAGTTTAGAGTCAAATTTGGCCTAACTATTCACTGGTCTAACATACTATGCTGTCTCTAAAGCAAATGCACAAACGGAATGTTACTGGAATCCAAATAGGTATAGGATAGAAATTAACGTAACCCTAGTTTGGCTAGTTTGGGACTCAGTTGCCTGGAGTATTAGGAGAATATCTAGCATCATTTAAAGTCAAGAGACCTGGCTAGGAGTAATTGACCTGAGATGGAGAGCAAGGTGGCCTAGAACAAAGCCAATCTCTGAATTTCATTTTCCTCATTGTAAAATATGGATTGCAACAGCAGAACCATATAATACCTCCTCTCTCACAGGGATGCTGTGAGGGTCAAAGGGAAAAATGTTCTTAAAGTGTTCAAAATGTATAAATAAAAACAATTATTTGGTGGAGTGAAGGTAAACTGGCTTTGGGATTAGCAGACCTAGGCTCTGATCCTCAGGCTGCATGATTGTGGCCAAGTCATGCCACCTCTCAGAGCATTAGTTTACTCAGATGTAATACAGGGATGGTGATAGTATTACTTATAGTGACTCACAGGGTTGTTGGGAGGAAAACTCTAAAGAGCTGCAAAAATGTGAACTATTTTAAAACATTAAAGCTTCCTCTAATGGCCTGCACTAGACATTATGTGGGGTTTTCAATATTCTGCCACCAAAGCTCAATCTACTTTTTCATTCAAGACCAAAAACCATTGTCAGAAGTCTGGTTAATTAATCCTTAAACTCTACTGCCAAGCCTTTATACCAAAGTTCAGGGTCAGGGGAGCACTGTTCAGTCTGAAAGATGCTTTTTTAGCCAAGAAGTTAAGGTTAAAAAGGTTGTTGTTTTGTATTTTATGGGAAGGGAATTTGATTAAAAGTTTAACTGTTAATTAAAAAAAATTTTTTTTATTAAGTTTTAGTTTCTTCAGTTTGCTTTATGAATAAAAGTAATTCCTCCTGTGATTGAGTATTCAATAAATATAAATTAAAAAAAATAAAAGTCTAGTTGATCCAGGCATATTCATTAGATGATAAAACATCTACCACAAAAAACGTTCTGAGGTCTCATTTTCTGTGGGTGTAGATGTCTTGTTGCCACTGAGGGAATTCATCACATTAGCAGAACTGTCCTGGTATTACAGAATTTCCCAAATAGAGAAGAGATACTGTAACATGGCCTTACAATATGTTACATGTCACTAAAGATTAAGAAATCTGTTTAAGAGATGCAGATAATCATTCATGCTTCCACTGCCTGGGAACTCATCTGATTTGAACCCCATTAAAAATCTATGCCAGGGTTGAGTACAATGGGATACAATTTGGTTGTAAAAAAATTATTACAAGGAAGGTTTTAAAGAAACCTAGGAAGACTTGTATGAACTGATGCAGACTGAAGTGAGCAGAACCAGAACAATTTATGTGATAAGAGCAATGTTGTAAAGACAAACCATTTTCAAACACCTGAGAACTCTGATCAATTCAATGACCAACCATGATTCCAGAGAATCAACCATGAAGCATACTCCCCACCTCCCAACAAAGAGTTATGGCCTCAAAAAGCAGAATGAGACAACACATTTTTGATTGTGACTAGTGCAGTTAATTTGTTTTGCTTTACTATCCATCTTCATT